GCCTTTTTGAGATTCTGTTCCAAAAAGTCAAGAGACAAAAGCCATCTTTAAAGTTGCGCAAGAATGACAGTTAATTACCTCGTAACAATAGAAAGAAGCTTTATTTCATAAAAAGTTTATAAAATGCATATTGTACAAAAATAAAGTCTGTAGAGAACTTTGCTTAACACAAACGGCTGAGACGTCGATTGGAGGTGAAGTAAAAATCCCCAATAATAACAACTATCTGTTTTATTTTTATTTATTTTTTTTCAATTCTTATTTCCAGAGTGGGCAAAAATCACAAACTTTACCTTTTTTTTTGGTTTGTTAGCATTAGGCTGCCATTAAAGGGTGAAAAAGGCTGGGGAAACAGGGAAAGCTACTGGTTGCTGAAAGAGGCTCACAGCAAAGGCCAAACTGATTTCTGTAAAGGTGCTTGAATGCTTCATGATTGGTTTGGATGGATATTTTGAGGGTATCATTTTGCCTTCTGCAAACTTTCCTGTCTGAAAAGATAGCTGTACTCATGCATACAGAAAAACTTAAGAATAAGAACCATGATGTTCTTACATCATCAAATCCATTAGATTTTTCCAACTGATGACCACATAGTACCATCTTATGATTAAGGATAATTGTCTAATGATTAAGGATAATTGTCCAGAATACATACCAGTTGAATTTATGTCTTGCTGATTTATCTTACAGGGAACAGTATGAGATTCATGCATTGCACTAAACCATAAACCATGGTTTCGACACAGCAGTTAGATAGCTTCACAAAAGCCAAAAATAAAACATTTAGTACATTATGGCTTAATACAAGATGTGAAACTGCAATTGGTCCTGTCTTGCCAGAAGCAATCAAGATTTAATAGACTGATGGTTTGTAATGCAGCCTATTTGGTAATATTCCTTCCATGTTAAGATTCAGATTGTGGAAATTCATTAAAGGATAAACTTTTGTGCAGTCTTGTATCCTGTCATGTGACCATTCTATCACTATTCCTTCATCATTTCCCCCCCCTCCCCTCTTTTGGATAAAATCCAGTGAAATTCCTTTTGTTTCAGTGGGAATATTAAACAAATGTTTAAATCCTCTCTATGAAAGCCAGACTTACAGGAAACATCAAAGGTTCACTGTAAAGGAAATTAAAACTGGAAGTAAATGTGACAATGATTCTAGCTGAAAGAGTCTTATGTTGCTCTCTGGAGTAAGTCCTATTGAATGCTAATCAGCTTTACTTCTGAGTAGATAGGCATCGATGCTGTTAATACCTATTTATATGTGGAAATATAGGGTAGCAGCAGCTGACTATGTTACCGTAGCTCAATAGTTTCAACTTCAGTGACTCTTTATCCTCGCCAGCATGTCTGATGGCAAAAGACCTGGAATCTTGTAAGTCAAAATAACTGGATGGTCCTAGTCTACCTATAGGACTATGGATGCTTCAAAAAGTATATCAGAGAAGTTCTTTGAACCTTGCACATTTGCACAAGTGTGAATGCAGAACTCTTCGCTAGACAGTAAGGCAACTCCTAGCTGTTCAGGTTACTACCTGAACTTGAAGAAAAGTTACAGCTGCTTTAAGAATCACATACGTCAACTCCTTAAAGCAGTGAGATTGTTCTAGAGCAGGGGTGTCAAATTCGCCATGTCACGTTGGCATCACGTGATGTTTTGAGATGTTTTTTTCCCATTCACGGAGCTGGGGTGGCCGTGGCCTCCACATCCGGCCCATGGGCTGCCAGTTTGACACCCCAGTTCCAGAGGCCTGCTAGAGGGGGGGGGGGAGAAAAGTTTTTTAACAAAAGCAGGCAACTGTCAAGCTTGTGTAAATCGTTTGAAGCCCCTTGCCTGAATCATTTTTAAAGCAGGTGCAGCCGTTTTAAACAATTAAAACTAGGGCTATGTTCCTTTTCATTTTAATTGGGAATGCTGCTGAACACAGCAGAATATACGTATCTCTAAAATGAACATCGATAACAATAGCCACACAAATTTCTGGAGCAACAGGATAAAAAGTGGCTTCAAGAGAAGCATTAGGCAGGCACGTAAGATGTAATCCACAGAAAGGTCAACATCCCTAAGACAAAATCAAAATATTTTGCTGGAAGCTTTAGAAACCTTTTCCCAAATGAATGGAACACATTCTTGATGACAGAGATATACTGAACTGTTGGCTTAAATCCTGCTCAGTTCCCATTCTTGCAATAGATATTTCTCAGATGCAAAGGCCGCATGAATGACGTGCATGCACAGCACAGCAAAATTACTTAGCGACATTTCCAAAAACAAAGTGCTTGGAATTATTTTTAAAATAATTCTCATATACCCACTCCACTTGAGGTCAAATCTATTTCATTTCAGTGGAATACTAATGTGATGTTCCATTGATTTCAGAAATCTTATTTTCAATGTTCATAAGAATAGAGTTATAGCCTGGGATATGATATACAGTTTGTTCTCTGGATTACGGTCACTTATGTTTATTGGAGACCAACTGTATAAAAAAATAAGAGAGTCAGAAAGAAATAGAAATTGCACTTAAAATATTTGGATGAAAATTATAGTGGTCCTATGTCTGTAAGACATTACCAATGGTAGCAGAATCAGACATGAAAAAAAGTAGCGTTTGCAGGTTTAGTCAAAGTTTCAATAGCATCCATGACCATGTAATCAAAGTTCCACCTGTATTTTTATGTGCACATATGACACGCATAAAAATAAAAAACAGGTGGGACTTGGAACCCACTATTGTGGCTGCCACAATTGAGGACATCTCTTGAAGCAAATGAACAGGGACATCAATTCTCCTGCACTTGCTTTCTGGTGTGAAAAAAATAAGTCTACATTTTCATAAAACTTTGATTATGGATTAATTGGTGTTGAGTGCGCTTTTATTTTTTTCATTATTATATAATCCACATGTGCTCTGTAGTTTTTGGCAGAATGAGATAACATGGCTTTCTTTTCTCTTTGATCTTTATCTTATCAAATGCTGAGGGTTTTTTTTCAAATTCCACATTAATTATTTTCTATGCCTCATGGTGTTGCAAATCCAATAAATATTCTACCTGCTACATCAAAGAAGTAGTTATTGAATTTCTACCAGAGAGTTAAAAGACACTGACCCTCCTTTTTCTTGGAAGAAACCTCTGGACACTGCAGGACTGGAGGAATTTCTCTTTTGAGTTGTCTCCACATAGCAGATTTAACTTAAGAGGGAAATTGTGGAATTCTATTTTATAGTTCCTAGCTATCTCACCTTGGTAAACTGTATATGTTGAAACACGGGTCTTCCTTGCATCCATAGTTCAATTCAGAGGTGTTATTCAGCAGGTTCTGACCAGTTCTGGAGAACCGGTAGCGGAAATTTTGAGTAGTTTGGAGAACCGGAAAATACCACCTCTGACTGGCCCCGCCCCCATCTATTCTCTGCCTCCCGAGTCCCAGCTGATTGGATGGGAAATGGGGATTTTGCAGTAACCTTCCCCTGGAGTGGGAAGGGAATGGAGATTTTACAGTATCCTTCCCCTGCCACGCCCACCAGGCCACGCCTAGCAAGCCACACCAACAGAACCGGTAGTAAATTTTTTTGAAACCCACCACTGGTTCAATTGTATGAAGGTGAGATTAGCAGATGGCACAAGTAGGAAATGGTGAGCATAAAGTTATGTGTCTCAAGAAGCCACAAGTAATCATCCTATGGAGATAATATATTACATGAAAAAATAAAGGTGTGGCAGGCAGGAAGAATGGAAAGCTTAATTCAAGAATATATTAAGATTCATGAAAAGTTCCTATATCTCAGTATGTCTCTGGAGATTCTCAGTCATCCAGGTCATGGTTGTCCCAAAGGTGCTTTTTCAAAGGGCATCTGGACTTTGTTTTTCCTTGAAGATGTTTCGCTTCTCATCCAAGAAGCTTCTTCAGTTCTTAGATATTGCACTTCAGAACTGAAGAAGCTTCTTGGATGAAAAGCGAAACGTCTTCAAGGAAAAACAAAGTCCAGTTGCCCTTTGAAAAAGCACCTTTGGGACGATCATATCTCAGTAGTAATATGGTAGGTAATAACAGCAGCAGAAATAGCAAACCAGCTTCAAACGTGTAAAGTCTTCATTTTTGTTTCCTGGGACCTCTGCTTTAAGAACATTAGATAAGAAGCCTGGGAGATAAAACTCTTTTTTTAGCTATTGTCAGTCAGAATCAAAAGACAGGACAAAATGATCTGGCTTATTATGAACTCTTGTCATATGATAATAAGTCTTCTAACATTTTCACAATTTAATTCCCCCCCCCGCCCCATGCTTCTGTTTAAAAACAAGGACAGCTCGTTTAGAAACGTCGATTAAACTCCTAGGTGTATTTAAACAATGTTTTAGCAGCTTAAGACCAATACTAGGAACTAATATCTGCCAAAGACTACAGAAATACTGTTATAACTACTTTTTCATCATGGGTGAAATGTTCAGATAGTACGAATATCTTTCCAGGTGTAGGATGCTCTTGATCAATGCTATGCAAGGACGTCAAAATGCATCTTAGGAGAAGGGTTTACTAGAAGCATCCCAAAGAAACATTATGTTCCATCTGAAGTAGAAACAATATAGAAAATTAAGAGCCGCCAAATTGGGCCCTATCAAATATTGTTCACTTCACTGAGACAGCGTTAAACAAATGCTTACCTTTGTTGTCTAAGTGGCCAGTGACTAAGCCTTTGCTGCAATGGGTTTGCCTCACCTCTAAGTCCCTTTCAAACAGATAACTTTTATAGTTGTTATTTTAGGGGTTATGTCAAACAATAGAAGCTTGGGCACCCAACAATTTGTATGCGGATTTCCCTTGAAATGCACTTCAGATAATTTAAAAAGACCATCGTATTAAAAATGTATGCATGCATGCAGACATTCATCTACTGCTGTGCTTCCCAACCTTAGCAACTTTAAGAAAGGTGGACTTCAATTCCCAGAATTCCCCAGCCAGCATGGCTGGTTGAGGAATTCTGGGAGTTGAAGTCCACTTTTCTTAAAGTTGCCAAGGTTGGGAAACTCTGATCTACTGCATGCAACAGTTTGCATCAGTTGACTCAGTGGCTTCTTATGGGAGATAATGGTCTTCAAAATGAATATAGCTCAGTTGTTTGAAAGTCATTACCCAGTTATTATTTGAAATAGCTCATCTTTGGTGGCCTCCAATCACTTCCCTACGCTGAATGAGGCCAAGGAAGGGACATCTCAAAATTAAACCCATTAATGTCTGACAGGATATTCAGCTATTAGAATATTCTTGATATTTTCTGGTCTTTATGATACTTTGCCTCTCCCCCACATCAAAGGTAACAAAGTATGACATCTCATGTGACTTCAACCCTTCCCAACAGCATTGTCAGAAGTTAGGGAATCTTCAAAGTTTCAACTAGTTAAAGAAGATCAATGATAAAACATATTGCATTGAGTATGATGAAGTACTATCCAACTGGGCTTCCATGATTTTTGTTCAAATGGTAAAGTAAGTGATTTTTTAAAAACAACAACAACAACAGTTTGCATTCCCGATATTAATTCTTAATACTTTTTTTTAAAAAAAAGAAAATCTATATATCTTGATCCCAGCATCACTATCCCATTGTAACTTTGGCACCTCTTTAGAAGAAAGAAGCTTTAATAAATAATGAAACTGAAACTCGTGTCTGAACCGTAATAAATAATAATAATAATAACTTAAAATCTCAATAAATATTTTCTCTAGATTTGACTTTAAACAGGATGCATTGCATCAAGTAGTCTTCCTCTTCACTCACGATGACCGCAAATAAAAATGTAGTTCATTAAGTAAGTGACCTTAGTCCTTCTTTAAACCAATAAAAAAGATCCACATTTTTAAAAATGGCATTTTGCTAGACAGGTGATTAAAAACACAGCCTGCTACCGTGTTTTCCCGAAAATAAGACCCTGTCTTATATTTTTTTGACCCCTGAAATAAGTGCTTGGCCTTATTGCCATGCGCCCAAAAGCCCAATTGGGCTTATTATCAGGAGATGTCTTATTTTGGGGAAAACAGGGTATGTTGGGAAACAGAAAGGGTAACATTTCTCTCTGTCTAACATTAATCTCCTTTTTCGGTTACATTCTAAATTAATTAGCTTTTAGAAATCCTCCATCCTTTTTCATAATCATTTGCTTAGAATTTAGCAATAGAATTAAAAGTTGAGCTTGACTTCTTTCCCATACAGGTACTCCTTGACTTAACGTCCACCATCGAGAACAACCGAAGTTCTGTTGCTAAGCAAGATGATTGTTAAGTGAGCCCCACTCGATTTTACAACCTTTTCTGTCACGGTTGTTAAGCAAATTACTCCAGTTATTAAGTGAATCACACGATTAAGTGAATTCGGCTTCACCCATCAACTTTGCTTGTTGGAAGCCAGCTGGGAAGGTGATCACAGATGGTGGGCTCAGAATGCTGCAACAGTTGTAAAAACAGTACATGCCAGTTGCCAAGCATGATCATTGGGATACTGCAACGGTTATAAGTGTGAGGACCATTTGTAAATCCCCCTTTTCAGGGCCAATAAATTCAAATGGTTGCTACACAAATGATTGTTAATTGAGGACTACCTGTATATAAAAAATATGGAATTGCTTTCGATTTACAGCTAGTCCTCGAATTAAGACCACAACGGAGCCCAAAATTGATGTTGCTAAGGGAAACATTTGTTAAGAGAGTTTGCCCCATTTTTATGACTTTTCTTGCCACAGTTGTTAAATGAATCATTGCAGTTGCTAAATTAGTAACATGGTTGTTAAGTGAATCTGGCTTCCCCATCGACTTCGCTTGTTAGAAAGTTGGCAAAAGCTGATCCCATGACCATGGGACACTGCAACGGTCATAAATATGAGTCAGTTATCAGGCATCTGAATTTTGATCATGTGAGCATGGGGATGCTGCAACAGTCATAAGTGTGAAAAACGGTCCTGAGTCACTTTTTTCAGTGCCGTTGTAACTTTGAATGGTCACTAAATGAACTGTTGTAAGTCAAGGACTACCTGTATATGTAACTGGAGGACTCTGTTGTGAACATCCTTTCTGACCGATTGGTATGGGTAGAATAATTCTGCATTATTCATAAGGCACAGGAAATGAAGCTTGTTAATGTCTTTACATCACAAAACAGAGGGATGTTGTGATGTACAATTTAGCTAAGTGGTCTGTAAATCAAGGGCAGAATTTCAAGTTTAGATTTCTGTGAAGGATTTCTAAAAGAGATTATTAGCAATGGAAGACAAAGGTCTACAATTGCTGGGTTTTCCATAAACAAGTATCAAAAAAGTGCTGAGTGAATTGTTGGGAACTGTCAGTTCTCAAGCTGGACAAATTTAGCCAGCAATTTGTATGAACCGAGAGTTCTGTTAGGATAATTTCCTCCTTTCATCAAGTGTGTTTTATCCATTATAACATTTCTATATATTCCACTCTTGCATCTCAAATATCCCGATAAATTCTTCAGGATTGCTCACACAGTGGCCTTCCTCAACCTGGGATCTTAGTTTTCAGAATGCTTCAGCCAGTATGGCCATTATGAAGAGTTCTGGAAACCCAGTCCATATTAACTGGAGGATGCAAGGCTAGGGAAGGTTTGGATCAGGGGTGGTCTACGAGGGATGAGGTCAAGAAGACCAAAATCATGGATATGGCTGGATAACCAAAGCATCCTTCCTTTTTAACATGCAATGGCACATTTAAAAAGGGTTGGAATTCCAGTCATCTGATCATGGTGACCATTTTGACATTGTTGATTCTGCCCCTTCCCCCCAGAAGCCCCTGCAGCTGATCATAAAACACATTCTTCTCAATATGAAAGACAGATTATGCCTCCAGATTGGGATGAAGGCCTGCGATCATTAGTTTAACTTCCATTTGGAGGGGGAGAAAACAAAGAAGGGAACTTGTGTTGTTAAGCACCTGTTCGGCCAAGTTTTGCCAATGGTGGATCACCTCAAAACCAATGGTGTAAAGTACTTTCCATTCATCCTGGATCTGAGCCCCTGAGCACTGATGTCTATTTGCCTTCCTGTAGAAACCAAAAGCTCCATCATGTTGTCGCTTCACCAATTATCCTGTGCTGGATTTCCATCAACCAGGCTCCCACAGCTGTTCTTCTCCTGTATGCTTGGTCCTCTTCCTTCATTTGAAGCCAACCGTTTCTTTCCTCAGGAGCCTTGGTCCCCTTCTTCGCCCATTTTAGCAGGAATGCAATATCATAGCCGTGTCCAAACCCAAAAGGACATCAAACGCACCCACATTTTTTAGCGGAATGTTTCCTCAGTATGTGATAAGTTGATAGGTCATCGTCCAAAAACGAAAGGTCATCATCATAAGCAATGGGTCTGCAACAAGGCTGTGGCCTGATTTTGTCACTGACCAACTTTTTATTTTGGGTTAAATTGTTTAAAATTTGGTCATACAGGGTTACAGCAGTCTCGCACGAACCACTACAATAACGGAAAATCAATTCTTCTTTGGTAGTGTATCCCAAACCCAAGTCAGTCACATTTAAGTGAATCTCACTTAAGACACAATCCCGAGATTTGAGCCTTTGAGCTCTCCGTCCTTTCTTGTTGGAATTATTGTTCCTTCCTGCATTTTGCCGGTTCCTTTCCCGTTTGGAGAAACGGGGTTTATCTGGTGACCTCTTCAGTCTTTTTAAAGTGGTTTGAATAAAATCCATCACATCCTCAAGTTGGCTGGGATAATCCACAGGCATATTAGCTGTTGGGAAAAAGGAGAAAAACAATTTGTCAAATGATTGCGTATCCATCTTATTTCACATGGAGAAAATGATCTTACTTACTGAAATTTCAAGCAGGCACATGGTTAAATCTGGGAGTGACAACTGCATACGTTAAAGGCTGCAAAATTCAATTTTTAAAACTTCATTTATTACTGGATTTATTACTGGATCCAACTCAAGAATGAGACGGCGTGATATACACTAACAAAACACAAGCCATAAACCAAACAAGAACCATAGTGTTAAAACAGATATTGTATAATACATAAATATGACATACAGAATATAAATTGATGACCAATACCATAATATAAACAACCAAAAGAAAACTGTTGGACCCAAATTATCCCATGATCATGACAGCTTAACAAAATGTATGTTCTAGAGGCGTGATTTCAAAATTCACAAGGATTAACACATTTTTATCAAGACTACAACATCCATTGCTGCCTTCTTCTTTTAGGTGCAGATGTTGTATAAGGTGATTGTGAAGATTCCAACATTATTTTTGATGTTGAAAGAGGTCCCTAAGACAGGCTAACCTATTTAATACATATCCATCGGTTGACTAAGTGTTTCCATGGAAAACTAGATTAAGTGAAATATTAGACTGCGATGTATTCTCACAGCACCTAGTCACTCTTGAACAGACAGAAAACTTCCTTAACTTGATATTCCCAATGCATTGGAGTACAACTGTAATTTCTATCCAGGGGAATCACTGGGAATTATGAAAGTGGTGATCTGATACATTTGGAGGGTTCAGATTACAGAAAATTGGTCTACTTCTTGTCTATGACACTCTATAAGTTGCCTATTCATAGTTCTATTCCATTTCCACAACTGTCTCAGCATTGTTACCCACCTTTTAATGTAAAAATGGGCACGAATTACAGCTGGGGGAGGAGGACATTTTTATTTGGAGCATGGCAATGACACAGTGAACAGGATTTAAATGTTGGCCTTCAAATTTATTCAGGTTGGGTTTACACAAAAAATGCACTAAGCATTTTTCAAAATATAACCAATCACTTTTAAAGTTTGAACACAACTAGTCCAAAGAAAAATATGGGATCTGTAAAAGAGGTCTTCAGGCCACATCTAGCCCATGGTTCACAGGATTACCATAGGATTACCACTCCTGATTTACTGGAAAACATCTGCCTGGATTCAAGCCACTTTCAGTCTATCTATGTGTTAATGGATCTCCTCCTTTGAGTGACACTTGCCCTGGAGAATTGCATCATAGATATCATCCCCTCAACAAATATTCTTATCCAATCCCAGCAAAATTGGTACCATTCAAAGACTAAGTGCAATGATTAGGAATTCTGGTAGTCGTAATCAACAATAATGAAGATAACCCTGGTATATGCAGAAAGTATGGAAGCAAGCAGACAACTTCAAAATAACTGAACTATTTGAAGGATGAGTAAGAAAGTTGACCTTGACAGAAATAAGTCAGATCTGTTATCAAAACAAGGAGGAGAAATGGGGAGCTTAAGTCCTAACCAAACAGAAAGTATGCAGAGGCAGGTCAGATCGGACTCCTTCCTAATTCACATGGGTATAAGAATGGAGAGGAAATACTTCACAATTAGATTTGCAAGGTTCTGTTATTATATCCCATATCAAAGTAGTTTTAGCCTGCCTGTAGAGTTGGGACGTGGTGACTCAGTGGCTAAGATGCTGAGCTTGTCATCAGTTCAGCGGTTCAAATCCTTAGTGCCGCATAATGGGGTGAGCTCCCCTTACTTGTCCCAGCTTCTGCCAACCTAGCAATTCGAAAGCATGTAAAAAATGCAAGTAGAAAAATAGGGACCACCTTTGGTGGGAAGGTAACAGCGTTCCGTGCGCCTTTGGCATTTAATCATGCCGGCCACATGACCATGGAGATGTCTTCGGACAGCGCTGGCTCTTTGGCTTTGAAACGGAAATGAGCACCGCCCCCTAGAGTCGGGAACGACTAGCACATATGTGCGAGGGGCAACCTTTACCTTTACTAGAGTTGATTTCCTGGTCTGGTCTACATAGTAGGCCTGTATAAAACCTAAGATAACCCAAATATTCCAGCCTGCTTTGCAGATATGGCAGTGACTGAGAAGGAATCTGAACTGACAAGTTAGAACCAGAAGATTGTAGAATTGGAAGGGACTACATCTAGTCAAACCCCTCATCTAGAGGGCCTGGTGGCTCAGCAGACTGATAGCATTGTGATTAACACCAGCTGTCTGCAATTACTGCTGGTTCGAATCTCACCAGGCTCAAGGTTGACTCAGCCTTCCATCCTTTCTAAGGTAGGTAAATTGAGGACCCAGTTTGTGGGGGCAATAAGCTGACTTTGTATAAATATACAAAAGTATGAAGGCTATTGCTTAACGCATTGTAAGCCGCCCTGAGTCTCCGGAGAAGGGCGGCATATAAATCAAATTTTAAAAAAACAAAAAACTTCTGCAACGTATAGGAAAACCAATTAAACATCCATGGAAGAGACGCATCTTTCTCAGGGTCATCTGCCCAGTCCTTCCCCAGAGACCAGGGCTATCTCCTTCCCCCCTGGGCCTTACTTCTCTTTTTCCAACCAGGAAATTAAGTGTGTGGTCCACACACTTAACTTCTCTCCTCAACTTTCTTCTCCAGTCCCTCTGTTAATTTTATGCGCAGACTTTTTCTCTCCTCTCTCCTCCTCTATTTTTAGTCAGACTAGTAGCATGACCCCTCAGTGGAGGTGGGTAGCATCCTCCCCCCTGCCCAACTATGTAGCAGACTGGAACAATGGGACTGCTGTCTCCCAAATCTCCTCACAAAGGCCCTGGCCAGCCAGAGCAGCTCATCAGGCCTTGTGATAAGTGCAGCTTCTCTTCAAGGCCAACACTGAACTTTCTTTTCTCCTTTTACTCACTCCAATAGCTGGCTCGTCATCAGAACAGCCAACAGGCCAGGCCACTGAAAACCCATGTGCCACATTATCTCTACTTGTTGAAACTAATGAGAATTAAAAATATTTCAGTGCAATAAATACTTACTCCTAGGTGCTTATGCCTCTGAAACAAATGACGTCCACTTTTGTAATCCCGCCGCATTATGCACTCAGAATTATGCAAACCAATACATGAGATGCAGATGTGTCAATTTTTACACAAGCCTGCTCAATAGTTTTTTTTTTTTTTAATTAAGTAACAACTGAAAATTTTACACAATGGATCAAATTCTACCTGTGCAGGGAAAGAAATATAGAAGCAGTGGTGGGATTCACCCAGGTCGCACCACTTTGGGAGAACCGGTTGTTAACTTTCTGAGCAATTTGGCAAACTGGTTGTTGGAAGAAATCATTAGGGCAGAGAACCGGTTGTTAAATTACTTGAATCCCACCATTGGATAGAAGGCCTTATATCCTTAATTGTTCTGAAAGATCCTAGATATTTTCATTCATAGTGTCTCTACAATACGAAGATTGAGAGATTCAAAAGCATAATTTTGTGTACAGGGACAGCAGTATCATTGTGCACATAAGCAATCCATTGAAACAGCAGCTTATAGAGACAATCCCAATCCAAACCATACATATTTTGAATTGAAACCTGCCTCAAAGCTCATATAACATTAAATAATAGTTATTCCAGTTGATGAAATATTAATTGAGAGGATGGATCAAAATAGCAATACCAATAGCACTTAGACTTATATACTGCTTCACAGTGCTTTACAGTCCACTCTAAGCGGTTTACAGAGTTAGCATATTGCCCCCAACAATCTGGCTCCTCATTTTACTGACATCAGAAGGATGGAAGTCAATCTTGAGCCAGTGAGAATCAAACTGTGGCAGTCAGCAGAGTTAACCTGCAATACTGCATTCTAACCACTATGCTACCATGGCTCTGTCTCCCCTAGTCTTTGGGGAGGCTTAGTGAGAGCGGCTAGCAGTGGTGAAATCCTCCATGGTTTACCACTGGGTCGCTGCCCGCACATGCGCGGTGCACTCCAAACGCATGCTGTGTGCGCGCATGCACAGTATGTACCAAACGCATGTTGCATGCACACGCATGCACAGTGCATGCCAAACGCATGCTTTGGGCGAAAAACAGGCGTTTAACAAGGTAAGTAGAACAGTGAGGGGGGGGGAACAGCTGTGTCACGCTATTTAGATTATATTTAGAATATAAATTGTGCGGCACACCTGATTGAAATACTGGTTCGGACCAACCGGTAGCTTTTTTTTTTTACTACCAGTTCGCCGAACCAGTAGCTTTTATCACTACTGATTCGCCCGAACCCGTGTGAACTGGTAGGATTTCACCACTGATTGCTAGTTACAGTATGCTGCTGTTTAGTGAGAGCGGCTAGTTATGCTGCTGTTTCATTAAGCTTGATTCTTGCTCAGTGATGTATATTGACTGAGCATACCTTACATATTTAATATATATTGTGGAGGAAGAAAGCAACTGCAAATATAACTGGTCGTGGTTGACTAGACTAAAAAATATCAATGACTATGTTACATCACAAGTTTATTCAACTTGTAAAGCAGCATTCATGTGATCAATGATAACTTGAAGCTTCAGAAGATACTAAATTAGTTTTAACTCATTCCCAAATTTAACAATAAAGAAACACCAAGATTAATCTAGATATAATTTTATACTAAAACTATTTTTGGTTATTGATAGGACTCTTTGCAAATCGTTATTTCCTAGCCCAGCTTTCACAACATTAGGTTGATTTATGAAGAAATTAATTATGATGTTAAACCACTTTACAAGTAATAACTAACAGCAATGATCGTAATTGACTGGACAATGACAGTTGTATTTCTGGCATTTATTGTCATACATTTTTATCTGTGACTTTTCATTACACTACCATATTTCCCAAAAGCAATTAAAGAGGGGTTCTAAAGACGAAGAAACCTGAGACCTTCTAGAAAGTCTATTTGGGTATGAATGCCTTCATCGTGCAGAAAAGAATCAACAATTGAGTCAAACAGTCAACAATTGAAGAATTATAGTAGTTAGTGTGGTAGAAGGAAGAAAGAATGACAAAAGTTTAAACATTTTGGCTAACTTGCATCATTCCTGTGGCTTCCTTCCAAAAAAAGTGAAGAGGGAAACCCAGGAAAGATTCCAGTGGAAAGACAGAGAAGGAGGAACAGACAAGGCAGAAAAGAGGAAGAATGCAGCTGTGGTTTTGCATCTGTTGGAAAGATGCTGAAGAGGCAAAAATGGCTGAGAATCCCTATGTCACCAGAAAGCAACAGTGGAAGACTACTGTATAATTTGCGACAAGCACAATAAAACCCACCCGAGGAGCCCAAGGGGTAGTTGCAACTCCTGGAGTACATCTCATTTGTGCATAAGAAGCTGCTCCTTGATCCTCTTTGTGTTACAACAGAGTGAGGCAAAGCATAACTATCTGCAATAGCGTTTCACAACCGTGGCAACTTTAAGATGCGTGGACTTCAAGTCCCAGAATTCCCTAGTTCTAGAAGTTGAAGTCCACACATTTTAAATTTGCTAAGGTTGAGAAACACTGATCTAGAAGCTTCACTAGAAAGGCATTATTCTTTCAAAGTTTTTTTGGGGGGAAAGGCAGATTGCTGCCACATAAATAATATTAAATTCTCATGCAACGTAGCACTCTAGGAAACAGAAACAAGGAAAGGTTCATTCTCATTCATTCAGCAAATGTGTTTGTGTGTGGGGGGGAGCGGGTGTGTGTGTGTGTGTGGGGGGGGAGCAGGTATCTTGTTCCAGTGTTGGTACATTCAACTCCCTACCATCTGTTGGAAGGATCACATGGAAGTGAGCTATGAGAAGCCATTATACCAATATTTTCTCCTTCACGTGAAGGAAGGCCTTGGAGTGACCAGAGTTCCTGAAAGCATGAAGGAATTAAACATACATCACCAACTGCATGAATGTTATAGAACAGGGGTGTCAAACTGAAGGCCCGTGGGCTGGATCCGGCCTATGGGGTGCTTAGATCCGGCCCATGGGGCCGGCCTGGAAACAGCAAAGGACCTGCCCGCGGTGCATCTACCAGCAAAAACTGCCATTTTCTCTGGCAGAGGGCTATCAAAGCAAACTAAAAACAAAACAAAAGGAGAAATGTTTCCCCTTTTGCATTTGAGCATGCAAGAAAGGACAAGAAAGGGAAAGAGGAAAGAAAGAGAAAGAAAAAGAAAAAGACGGAAAGATGGGAAGAGAGCAAGGAAAGAAAAATAAGGAAAGAGGAAGGAAGAAGAAAGGAGAATGAAGAGGAAAGGAAAAAGAAAAGGAATGAATGTATGAATGTATGAATGTATGAATGTATGAATGTATGAATGTATGAAGGAAGGAAGGAAGGAAGGAAGGAAGGAAGGTTATGAGAGTGAGGGAGAGTCAAGGGAAGTCCTGCATTAGCGCTTGGCCACAACAGGTGCCCCTGAAACAAGTCCTGTGTCACACCCACCATGGCCACCCCTACCCCAGCCACATCCACCATGGCCATGCCTACTCCCCAGCCCTCCAAAGTCAAACCCAACCCTGATGCAGCCCTCAATGAAATTGAGTTTGACACCCCTGGTATAGAACATGGCCTTCCCTGGATACACATTACAGCACAATCCTGTTCCCTACTCTATCCATACTTCCACATACACATGAAGGGAAAGTGAATAGAAGCCTGCACTACGTTCAAAGACAGTGAGCAGTATATTGCCAGTGAAAATATTTCATTTCATCGTAAAAAAACCCCCAGATTAATTGAACTTTAATTTCAAGAAAATCTGATTTTCATTCCCAGGATACAACTCAAATGCACGTGGGGAATTGGCCCAGCTGAATTCAGTAGGTCTTGAATAAATAAGACTAAAATGATACATCGTAAGGTTCTTGATCTGAAGCAAATCTCAAGGAAACAATCTCTGCAATGTAGCTTCTGTTCAACAACTTATAGAGAAGACCCAAGCTTCCTGACCAACCCAACTTGGAAAAGAGATAAAAAGAGAGAGAGAAAAATATTAATTTTCAGGAATGCCTTTAGCCTTCATTTATCTTTGGCTATGGGGCAACAATGGCAATCCCTCGACTGTTTTTTCCTTAGCCCCCATCTGCCCATCCCCATCTCTTGGAGGGCAGAGCTGACTGGATCGTCTCAAAATGACAACAACAACAAAAAAAGCCGAAGGCCAGTAAGCAGCTGTAAAAATAACAAGAAGTGGCAGCAAGAAAGTGGAATGTGTGCTTACAATCCATTTGGCCAGCGTAGGGATTCAGCAGCCTGCTGGTACTGTGGTCTTCTTCAGCTCTTCCTAGCATTGAGCGGGCCTTTTCAGGAGGTCTCTTACCAGCGGGAAGCGGAAAGGTCGAGATCGAGTTGAGTAGCACCACGCAGACAGTCATCATATCCCATAAATTCATCTTAGATTCCCTTCCAGCACAAGACCCTGGCAAATGGGAGACATACATTAGTTTTCACCTCTTCTTCCCTTGGAGCGCCATCTGTGTTCAACTCCACCTCTCTTTCCTAACCTCGCCTTGCCTATCTATTGTAAATGCAACCGTTTTCATGATCAATATAATAGCAAGCACAATGCTTGGCATTTAAGCGTTTATTAATAGTGAGTCATAACGTTTCTTGGCGTCTTTCATTCCGAGACACCAGAGCTCCCCCAAACAGCTAGAGTTCATGTATAAAATCTAGGTGAAACAATGATTTTAAAAAAAAAATCTGGAATGGGAATGAGAACTTGATAATAGAATATTGGTCAAGATTCTGGAGCTCCATTTATTGTACCTACTTTGGATCCCCCAAATTTTCTGCAATGTTGTCATACCCATAAGCCCTATTTTATTTTATTATCATTGATATTTTTTATCTATCTGTCATCTCTCTCTCTCTCTCTCTCTCTCTCTCTCTCTCCATCCATCCCTACATCCATCCATCCCTACATCTATCCATCCAACCATCCATCCATCTATCTATCATCTATCTATTTTCATCATCATTATCTATCCATCCTCCTCCTCCTCCTCCTCCTCCTCCTCCTCCTCCATCCATTCATCCATCACGCATCCCTACACAATTAATTCTTACTTAAAAATGAAAACCAAAAGAGTGAAAAGTTGAGCCCTAAAATTGTTCAGCAACCATTTCCATTTGGACAGCAGCAGGTTCCTGGTCACAATTTTGCCCAGTAAAGTGAAAAGTACTGTATATTTCTCTACCTTATAATTATGTCTAATATGTAATATCAACATCCATAAATGGAAAGCATATGTTTGTTCCTTTTTTTCTGAAGATGATCTCCTCCGAGCATCATTTAGAAATATGGGAACATTTAGCTGCACGCAACCTTATCTAGTGGATGGTTGTTCTCTGCTGTCTGTAAAAACTCACCAGAATCCATCAGTGGAAGACTCAGAGGTCCAGCAGAATAATTGTATCCAGGGTTTTCTTGAACTTGACATGGTTTCAAGATCCTGTCTAGTTTGGCATGACCCACAATCCATATTTTGGACAGTGGATCACAACTGCCTGCTACCAGAGTGCTTTGTATCCAGGGTTTCTTTCCAGCAGTTCTTTCACAGACTAGTCCTGTAATGGCGAACCTATGGCACGCGTGCCACAGGTGGCACGTAGAGCCATATAGGGCATGTGAGCGTTGCCCTAGCTCCAGCGCACACGTACGTGCCGGCCATCTGATTTTTGGGCCTTCCAGGCCCACAGGAAGTTGGGAAACAGGCTTTTCCCGGCCTCCGGAGGGCCTCCGGGGGGGTGGGGAAGGCCGTTTTCGTCCTCCCCAGGCTCCTAGATAGCCTCTGGAGCCTGGGGAGGGTGAAAAATGGGCCTTCTGGTCCCACCATGCCATCGTGTGCCAAAAGCGGGGAGAGTGCGGGGCGGTCATGTGCGCATGTATGAGGGGGTGGGGAGCATTAAATTATGGGTGTGGGCATGCGCGCGTTATGTTAATGTTAATGTTAATTTTATTTATATACCGCCCTTCTCCCGAAGGACTTGGGGCAGTGTACAGCCAATTTAAAAACATAAATATACAGACATCATCATTAAAAGTAATTAAAATCAATTAAACAGTTTCAGCCAAAATTTAAAACCCCAAGTTAAAACTCCAATTTAAAAACCACTTAAATAGACAGTCCCGCCTGTCGGAACAGTAGAATCTTAAGGGCACAGCGAAAAACCCGGAGGTCAGAGATTGTACGTATTTCCGGGGGCAGTTCGTTCCAAAGGGCAGGAGCTCCCACTGAGAAGGCTCTCCTCCTGGGTGTCGCCAGCCGGCATAATTTGGCCGACGGCACCCTAAGGAGTCCCTCTCTGTGGGAGCGAACTGGTCGGTGGGAGGCTATTGGTGGCAGAAGGCGGTCCCGTAAATACCCTGGTCCTATGCCATGGAGCGCTTTAAAGGTGGTAACCAACACCTTGAATTGCACCTGGAAGACCACTGGGAGCCAGTGCAGCTTGCCCAGGAGGGTTGTTACATGGGCGCAACAAGTTGCGCCCATAACCACCTACGCGGCCACATTCTGGACCAGTTGGAGCCTCTGAGTGCTCTTCAAGGGGAGCCCCATGTAGAAAACATTACAGCAGTCCAGCCGGGAGGTGACAAGGGCGTGAGTGACCATGCGTAGGGTGTCCCGGTCTAGAAAGGGACGCAACTGGCGGATCAGGTGAACCTGATAAAAAGCCCCCCTGGCCACAGCCATCATGTGCTCTTCTAAAGACAGCCGTGCATCCAGGAGGACACCCAGATTGCGAGCCCTCTCTGTGGGAGGCAAAGATTCAGCCCCAATAGTCAGCGATGGCACTAGATGACTATACCGGGACGCCGGAAGCCACAGCCACTCGGTCTTGGAAGGGTTGAGTCTGAGCCTGTTTCTCCCCATCCAGACCCGCACGGCTTCCAGGCAGCGGGACATCACATCAAAGGCATCATTGGGGTGGTCTGGGGTGGAGATGTACAACTGAGTGTCATCAGCCTACTGGTGGACTCTCACCCCAAAACCACGGATTATGTCACCCAGTGGCTTCACATAAATGTTGAACAGAAGGGGCGAGAGGACCGACCCCTGCGGCACTCCCCAAGCAAGGCGCCTCGAGATCGACCTCTGCCCCCCTGCCAACACAAACTGCGAACGGTCGGAGAGGAAGGAGGAGAACCACCGTAACACGATGCACGTGTGACTCCCCCCCACGCTCCCCACACTTTTGGCACGTCACGGCAAAAAGGTTAGCCATCACTGGCCTAGTCATTAGCCCTGATGAAAAAAACCTGTCTGTCTGAGCTACACCATTTCATATCCTCTCAAACATTGCCACAACCTCACCCAGTAGTTGCCAGCGAAAGGTTCCATTTTAATCCTTAAAACCCAACACACTTCAAAATATAGAATTATATCTCTCACACTCCAATGATATTAGAAGCACAATTTCATTTGAAGAAAAATCCACAAAAACAACTTACACGCATACCAATTCAGTAAACAGGTCCATCAAACTCTCTGCACTTCTTATGTACCACATGACAAAATTGGGCTACCCTTAAGGAATAGAATCACTTGAATTTGAAAGGAAAGGTTTTCAATAAAACTGATCTGAGAGACCTATTTAATTTAATTTTTATTTAATTAATTTACTTATTATAAATATATGATATATATTAAATTTTATTTAATTTAATATTTAATTAGGTGTGGGGCTAACAATTCCCAGTAAAAATCAGTATGAAATGGACCATACAATAATTTCATTGACTTTTTCATCACATGGGCAGAGTCTGGATTTAAATGAGTTGCCTCTGTATCTCCTTCTAAAATCATCAATGGAAGAATATGCCAAGGTTAGGGCCTTCCTTAGCTTGGGAACAGTAATTTGTTTGGGGTATTTGGCTGATCTCTAGGGAGTATAGGGGCTACTTAAAAATACTACTTTGAAGAACTAGTTTTTGAGCAGTGAGAAGTAGAGCTGGAGGGCAGCCATGAGTTCATGACAGCTTCCTGCAATGGATGGGGGAGGCGGGAGTCACTCCCCATTTGATTGTCAACTGAAATGGTATAGGCAGTGATAGCAATGCGCGCGTGACACCCTGTGCCCTGTCCCCCGCGCATATGCATGCAACCCTTGCATGTGCCCCGCCCCTGCACATGCGCACATGACCCCAATGCTCCCCCCACGGATATCTGCATGCTCCCCCTGTGCTCCCCCTGCCTCCACGCATGCATGCGTGACCCCCACAGATGCAACCCGCCCCTGCACATGCACGCATGACCCCATGCATACATGTGCCCCATGCATGCGCACGCATCTCCCGCATATGCCCCATCCCTGCGCATGTGCGACAAAGACCCGAAAACCAGCTGGCCGGCAGGAGGCAGTGCGCATGCATGGTGGAGCTGAGCTGGGGTGATAGCTCTCGTGCCCGATAGGTTCGCCATCACGGGTATAGGGTTTCCTACTTGAGCAGGGGGTTAGACTAGAAGACCTCCAAGGTGCCTTCTAACTCTGTTATTCTGTCAAGTTGTTACTCTGTCCTATGTTTAATTAACAATGTTTCTGGGCTGGCACTGCCAGGAGCCTTTGCCGCTACCTCTTTGACCTTCTAACCTGCCACGTCTACAATAGCTGAGTAGTGATGCCTGAATCTAGAAGAGGATGGTTTCCATTTGTGACAGATAAGACAGATACTATATTGCTGCTCTCTTTTGCTTAAGATTTCCAAAACTTTTAGAATAGAATAACAGAGTTGGAAGGGACCTTGGAGGTCAACTAGTCCAACCCCCTGCCCAAGCAGGAAACCCTCCACCACTTCAGATAAATGGTTATCCAAACATCTTCTTAAAAACTTCCAGTGTTGGAGCATTCACAACTTCTGGAGGCAAGTTGTTCCACTGATTAATTGTTTTAACTGTCAAGAAATTTCTCCTTAGTTCTAAGTTGCTTCTCTCCTTGATTAGTTTCCACCCATTGCTCAGGTGCTTTGGAGAATAGCTTGACTCCCTCTTCTTTGTGGCAGCCCCTGAGATATCGGAATACTGCTATCATGTCACTCCTAGTCAGAGGTGGGATTCACTCACCTTCCCTACTGGTTCGCAAATGTGAGCGCACGCGCCACCTTTCCGCATGTGCACGACCTCCTGTGCATGCGCAGTAGTCACGCATTACATCCGGGCGGGTCGGCGGAGCCTCTCGCAGTTGCCGCTACCAGTTCGCGTGATCCGGACAGAACCGGCTGAATCCCACCACTGCCCCTAGTCCTTCTTTTCATCAGGCTAGTCATTCCCAATTCCAGCAACTTTAGTGACAGTTTATAAAAGGCCATGACATCAGATTTGAGATTGCATGCATTCCTGGTTCCAAAAATACTTACAAGATCGCCTTCTACCACTGATTGCCTCCCACCGACCAATACACTCCCACAGAGAGGGACTC